GAACCGGTCTGTATGTGGGATCCGAACCCTCGGGTGGGAGCACCACCGCGCTTCCCAAGCGACGCACTATCCAGTGCGCCACCGGGCTGGCCCCTGAATCAGATTTTCGAAACTGCCATGACCTTGCATAACCGGCGTCTGTACAGGAAGGGCTTACCTCAAATGCTTCAGAAGCTGAAGCCAGGAAACAATGCATTACACCCTTCCCGTCCCACTGTTCCACGGGCACAGAAGCTGCCATCACTAGAACTGTTGGGTTCTCTTTGGGGGTCTGGGGGACTTTTCATGTGAGTCAGGTGTTTTGTCTGGTATTCCACTCTGAGGTTCCAAATTCATCAAATATTCAAGAAAAGCATCAGGGCAGTAGACTAAATATATCAATGCTGGAGTGGTAGCAAATAATTTTTCCTGGTCTTTTAAATAGTTATCAATTGTCTTGGAATAATATTCAAAATATGTTCAGTAGAACAAAATGATGTCCCCTTTCGTATTATAACCTTATACATGTGCATACATTTGGATATAGAAGACTGGCAGTTAGTGAATTTGTGTTGTTTCTAGCCACTGAATTTGTGGTGATCTGTTATAGCAGCAATAAGAAACCAATACACACCTCTTGTCAATTACAACGGCCAACATTTACTGAGTACTGTGTGTCTGGCAACCTTCATGGATAGGACTTATTGGTCATGAATGTTCTAAGAGCCACAATTAGAAAAATAGATAAATCTGAATAATGAACACCATTAAAAGGAGACAGAAAATAATAAAAAAATTTGAAATATCTTGATATTTAATGAGAGATCTGGGTCTGATGCTGCCTTACAGAGTGTTTACCAGGCTTGATTTTCCCATGGGGGGGGAAACAGAGAAGCAGGTGGGGAAGTAGATGATTATCCTAGGAACAGCACTGGCAGAAGCACCCAGAAGGGTTCTGAGGTTCTGTCATGGCCTGACTGAGTGAGGGGATGGGTTATGCTATGGGTGCCAGATGGGGAATTGTGTCACATGGACCTAAAATTTGCCATCCCTGATCTATGTACCAGGTATTAAGCTAGATGCTGGGAATGAAACGATGATTATGACACAGCCGCTGACTTCTAGAAGCTCAGTCCAGAAAAAGGAAAACAGACAGATTCGTGGACAATTACATCACCATATCATAAGTAAAAAGACAGAAGAAAATACAGAAGAATGACAAGATTAAAATGGCGCAACCAAGTCCCTTCCCTCAAGAGGCTCAGAGTCCACGGGGAAGATAAGAAAGCAAGTGCTACGTAAATCAGGGATAGATTCTGCAGGGGAGCTCCTCACAGGGGGTTCCGTGAGGCAGAGAGGAGGAGGGTCAGAAAGGCACCTGGGAGGAAATGACTTTCTAGTCACCAGAGGAGAAGGTCACCCTACACCCCTTACAATGTACCAATGCTTCATTGTTTTTAAACAATGGACTGATCACAAAATCAAATGTTTTGATTTCAAATGTTGAGGATTTAATATAAAAGAAAATCCTCATATTATAAATTAGCAATAAATTTCTTCTAATGTCAAACACTCTGTTGGGAACTGCCAACTTTCTGTTGTATAGACTTCTCTTTTACATCAACATTTTCCTATGGATTGTTAATTCTCCTAGGGAAAAAAAATGGTTTCTCAAAATTTGGTCTGCTTTAGGTATTTTCCTAAATCTTTGATCCATTGTTTATAACATTATGTATATATATAAAATGCAAAAAAAAAAAAAAGGAATAATATAAATACCTACCATGCAGTTTAAAGATATTTAAAGAATTTCCAATATCTTTGGAACTCCAATGTACTTCTCAATGACAGCTTTTAAAAATTAAAATAATTGTTAAGCTGCCCTCTTCCACCCCATCAGGTCTCTCTTCCAAAAGTTAATTACTACTCGATCCAATCAAGATGGTGGAATAGACAGTCCCCGGCGTCACTCTCTCCCACAAATCAACCAATTTACAACTATAAAAATGTAACATCAGCCAACCTGGGGCCGCTAGAGCTCAGGGGAAGAGGAGGAGAGACCTACGGAGTTCATGAAGGTGGGAGAAACCACGATGAGAGAAAGAAAAAGCTGCTCTGAGCATTTCAGGCCGCAGCTGCTTTAAGGCTGGAGCTGCTGAGCACATGGAGCAGGAGCCGGCAGAAGCTGCAGCTGTGCCCTTCAGATGGAGTTACTGGGAGCTGGCAGGGGAGAAAGGGCCTTGGCAGCCCCCGGGACAGCAAGACCACTAATAAGATTCACGTGGACCCACGCAGGAGCAAGGAGCCAGAACAACTGAAAGAAAGGAGCCATTCAGAGGCCAGTGAGTCATTGCAAGGGACGGCACAGGGCCCATCCCATGGGAAGTGTGCAGCACGGGCGGTAGGGGAGACGGGCCCACCAGGGGAACACTGGGACACAGCAAGGACAGCTGATCTGCCCCCCAATCAGCACAGGACCACTCAGAGGAGACTGGTCAGGAATGCAGAATTGCGTGGGGTGCAGTTTGATGAAGAAACTCAGGCCCAGACCAGTTTCTACACAACCCAGATCCACCGGGTCTCTGGAGAGCTGGAAGTACCTATAAGGTCAACCATTAAACCCTGAGCTGCACAAAAAGCCTTCCCTAGGAAAACAGCAGCAAAGTAATGATTTAAACAACCAAACAGCTCAAGTACTGGTTCCCACAGGAAGTTCCCCATGTTAGAAGCAAAGGACAAAAAATTAGTTCCAGCCCAGGCACACCACCAGCATCTTGGGGCCTGCCTGGGAACTGGAGGCTTGGATCTGGGGACCAGACCCCACTCCCACTTCCAGGCAAACTGTACCAGTGCCTCGGGGCCTGCCCAGGGACGCAGGGCATGGAGAAGGGGACCAGACCTCTCTCCCACAACCAGGAACAACATGCCAGCACCTCAGAGCCCACCCAGGGACCTGGGGCAAGGAGAAGGGGAATGGTCCTCTCTCCCACAACCAGGCACATCACGCCAGAGATTCAGGGCCCACCCAGGGACCCAGGGCATGCAGAAGGGGACTGGACCCTCCTCCCATACCAGGCACAAAATGCCAGAACCTCAGGGCCCACCTGGGTACCGGAGGCATGAAGAAGGGGACCGGACCCTTCTCCCACAACCAGGCACATGGCTCCAGTGACTTGGGGCCTGCTCAGGGACCAGAGGCATGGAGAAGGGGACCAAACACACCCCACAACCAGGCATACCGCCAGTGCCAAGGAGCATGCCAAAAACATCACCTCCATGTGGGTGGCCCACCACAGCCACCACAATAACCATGGCTGCTACAAAATTGGCTAGACGGCACAGCCACCATGGAGATCGTCTGCCAGCCACTGGAGTGCATTCACACAAGAAGAGTCACCAGCAGAGACAAAGAAAAGAAGAGGAGTCTCTCTCCACAAAACCCATTTCAGAGTGACAGAAGAAGCATCTGCTCTATAATAATATTGGGGGACCTGATCACACCTCTCAGCATTGGACAGATCATCTAGGCAACAAGTTAACAGAGTAACCATTATTCTTTCAGAAGGAGAGAAGAAATCTAGGTCAATTAGAGGGTGGAGGGGGAGAGAATGGGGGAAGGAGAGAGGTCGGACAAGGGGCATAAAGAATAATTACGATTTGTAACAATATATATGCTAGTGATATTGATTTGATCAACCTATCTCAGTGTTGAACCCCAAAAATATGTATAATTGATTTTGATTCAATAAATAAAATAAAATTTAAAAAAAAATAAAGCTCTCTAAAAGAAAAAAAAAAGGTAATTACTACCAATACCTCATGATTCCTTCTAGAAAATAAAATTACATGCATTAATGTGGTTGTGTGGGCAAATGTATATATATAATAATAAATTTCTAGTAACAAAATTCCTGGATTCAAGAGTATGTGTGATTTTTACTAGATGTCAAATTGTCCTGGCAAATGATTGCACTGACATGCATGCCAATGTTTCAATACAGGAAAAAGATTTTGAAAGCACTGGTAAGAAAAAGCAATGACACTGTCTCCGTGCTTTAAAGCACAGACTTCAATGACGCTCATGTATGAATGTTGTGTTCCCTGCAGACCCTGAGCACGGAGGCCTGACTTCAAAAATGTTACCTGCGCAGGACAGAGGACTGTGTGGGGAACTTGGCCAGAATTGGTCAGGATGTTTCAAATTTTACAAAAGATGCCGAAAATGTCAGGATTACCTGTCTGAAGGTAAGTAATTATTATTTTCTTAGGATTTCCATAGTATTCTGGTCAGAAGTCAAAATCTCACTTTCACAAGCTGTGGATTCATCTGCTTTCCTTCAAGTACTTTTTTGCATGCTCATTTCCATCTGTGGGTGCTCAATGTAGGTTTATAAATATTTTTTATTGCAAAGTATGTCAACTCATTCTTTCAATTTCTTTAACTTCCTAATAGCTAATGTGAATTTTTTTTACGATTAAAAACCAAATGAACACTGATATATGCAAAAGAGAAAAGCAATGAGCAAATTAGGACAACTCCTTTACTTCTTACTGCAAAGAAGAAGAAAACCCACAAATGAAGGGAACCTTCCCATTGTGTTAATTTTTAGCCAAGTGGGATACAATGTCTTTCTTAATATAGGTGTTAGGCACATGGGATCTATAATAGGAGGTTCTGTCTCCAGCCCAGTTTCTGTTACATAAAACCATATGATTTGAACAATTAAGCTACATCTTGTTTGAAACTGATCTAGGCGATCTTAATAATTACTCCAGAAAAACAGATATAAACTAGGAGTTCTCACAGGCAAAGGGGAAATAGGCAGTGTGAGGGCTGGGAGTTAAGACTGCATCGCCCACCTCCAAGTTTCATGGACGCATCGCCCACCTCCAAGTCTCATGGACCATGTTTCTTTACCATGTTCCTTTCTTCTTTGCTAGACTGTCCTGATGTCCCTGAACTCCACATGGAATTGGATGAGGCCCTTAGATTGGTCAACGTATCCAATCAGCAATACACCCAGATTCTCCAGATGACCCAGCAGCACATGGAGGACACGTCATATCTGATGGGGAAGATGCGAGAGCAGTTCGGTTGGGTGTCTGCACTGGCAAATCTGGCTCCAGGAACGGAGAACGTCAGCAGTTCAACAAAGGTAGCGGCAAGACCCAAGAGCAGACATGGACATTATATGCTCATACCTTGACTTTGCTGTGAATTTACTTATTAATTATATCTGAATTTGAAAACAAGCTATAGGCAGATATTCATATTCTCATTGTGAATATCTAACTGACTTGATTTCATGTAGTATACGGTCCTTAGAAAATAAGAAACTCTATAAAGAAATCAATTTAAAACACAAAATACTTTCTATTTTAGAGATGGCTGATTCTGCTTATAGTTAAAGGGCTATAACTGATAGAGGTAACCTGGAAGAAAACTGGCCAATATAGTTTTTAAGAAAGAAGACTTACAGGTAAGGCAATTTAAGTTCAAAGTTTGACTCTGAAACTTCTCAGCTGACTAAGCTTGGAAAAGTCCCTTAACCTTTCTAAGCCTCAGTTTTTCCACCTGTAAAATGGGAATAATAATATCTACCTTAAAATGTGTATCTGTGAAGCAATTAGCAAAGAGTCCTTATACAAAGCAAGAGCTCTGTAAATTATAGCTCTTATTAATCTTTGACACAACAAGCTACTGGGTTACCTTGAGAATTAAACATATTTATACATTAATCTTCACATAAAAACATACTGTCATCTTAAATTGCACCTACACCATGATTCCCACATTTTTTTTTTTCTCTTTTCTTTTTGTCCTTTTTGAGACCGGCCGCATTGCGCTCAGCCAGTGAACGCTTTGAGCGCACCTGTCATCCCTATATAGGATCCGAACCCGTGGCGGGAGAGTTACTGCGCTCCCAGCACCGCACTCTCCCGAGTGCACCACCAGCACACTTACATTCCAGAGCTCCCTGCGTGATCAGGCTGAGGCAAGAGGTAACCTGAAGCCACATTCTTGCTTAGCTTCTCCCTCTTCTCTAGTTTGCTTTCCTCATCCCCTTGAAAGTTTCACCTGAGAGCCTCCTTTTATAGATCACTTGTGTCAGAAGCTTTGCCATAGGGCATTTGACCTATGACATTTGTAATCCAGTGTTTCACTCTTCTTCAAACTGCAACGTGTGGCCCATCCATGGCTTGAGAAAAAAGTTTAGAAAGTCACAACAAGCACATTAGAAAACAAAACAAAGAAACACTAAAAAGAGAATAGGACAGACTAGAAGAGAAAATATTAGCATACATTGCATTTAATAAGTCATAGCATGGCACAGAACTTTAATTTCCATTGTGTGTGTACAGACATATGTGTGTAAATGTAATACACATATGTAGACATATGGGTGTTCTGGCTTGTGATATAAAATGTGTTTGTTACTGTGGACCACAAAGGCTTTTGAAAGCCACCGTTCCAATCCCTGCTGACTCTCTGATTCTATTACTCCTTTAGATCATAGTCTAGGAGAGTAAAAGAATTTGGCATATTTGATCCTATTCACACATCTAGACTTTTAGTTTCATGAGGAAAAATTCTTGTGTTGAAGAATAAAATTTTAAGAAAAATTTCGCAGTGCTTTTAACCTTTAGAAAGCTATGTCAGTATTTGATTATTTTTGTCATTGTCAGTATTTTCCATTCTATGCTTCAATTTGCTTCCATTCTAGTGTTTCTGAGTAACACTAACAGATTTATCTAAAATTCTTTATATTGATAATAAAGGCATCTCTATATAAAAACCTTCATATAAAATAAAATTATCATTTTCAATTATACATTTTTATAATCATCATCATCACTAAAGAATACTTACTGTTTGTCAGGCAATGTTCTAGGAGTTTTTTCCTTATGTCAGGTCATTTAATCCCATCAGTGACCCCATAAGGTAAGTAGTAGTAGTTTCCCAATTTTTCAGATGAGGCACAATGGAGGTTAAGCAACTCATCTGAGCTCATACAGCTAGTAAGTGGAAGAAATGAAATTCAAACTGAAGTAGCATTTCACCAGAATCAGCAAACTTAACCACTTTGCTAAATTGCCTGTAAAAGTTATTCTTCTCAAAACAGCTCTTATTTCATCATGTAAAGCGAAGTACAAACCCATAAAATGGCAAGTACTGAAGAAAGCCCTTGTGTAAGAAATATACAAATTGCAACAAGTGAAATAATTCATGGCCCCTGGTTGCAGTTACATAGCTATTTGCTTTATAATTACTTATTAAATTAGANTTCTCTGCTGAGGGCACAGAGAAACCATGTGTTTATATGCCACAGGCATGAGATGATGTGGTGTCAGCCAGGGTCCTGAGTGTCAGGAGTCCTTCTTACGGACACTTGCATGAGTGAGAAACAAAATTTTGCTGTATGAAGCCACTGGAATGCTGGGGCTAATTTTTTGCCTCAGCACAACCTAGCCTATCCAGACTAACGTAGTATGAAGTGAATACTGAATGTGTACTGGGATTTAGTAATCTTTTACTATGTAATCCTTCTTCTCTAGGTAGTTCCAAGTATTGGTGAAGGAAATGTTTCCATACAAGATGAAACAATGAGAGACTTAAGCATTCTGCCTTCCTCTAATTTCACGTTCAAGATTCCTCTTGAAGAAAGTTCTGAGAGTCCTGACTTCATTGGCTACATGGTGGCATAAGGTCTACAGCATTTTAAGGAGCATTCCAAAACTTGGTAAGCAGAGTGCCTGATTAGGAATGCTTTGTTGACAGGAATAGATGATTCCTAAAAGGAAAAAACAAAGCTACTTTAAAAATACCTGGAAAATATGTCCAACCTCCTTAATAATCAAAAACATGAATACAAATAAGGTAGTATTTTCTGCATATCAAATTTGCGAATTAAAAAATTCCCCACAAAATCCTGATAAGAGCATGATGAAGAGGGAATTCTCATAGTTATTGGTGGGAAGATAAACTGGTTTTGCCTTTTTGAAAAGTTGTTTGATTATATGTATCAAGAGCCATAGAGTTTCTTTTTCATATAATAATTCCACTTCTTGAATCAATCCTAATGAATCGATATAAATTTAATTAAAAGCCCCCCACCCTAATATCTATGTTTGCAAAATTATTTAAAATAGTAAAATAGTTAATCAATGTCTAAAAATAAGACAGTGGTTAAGTAGATTATGGCTAAATATGCTCAAGAAATTTTATAAAACCATTAAAAATATTTATAAAATTTTAATAATGTCTTGCCAGCTACTGAAATAAGGGCTTTATTATAATCCTGTCTTTGAGGTCATATTACTATCAGCAGTCCACAGAAAAGGAACCTGAGGTTCAGGGTCCAAGGCTACATGAACTACTCAAGTCAGTAGGTGATAGAGACAGAACCTGAACTCCGTTCTCTCTGCCTCTTAAATGCAACACTGTACTGCTTCCTGTTAGGACATTTGGCCAAAAAAAGCAAGATACAAAAGCCTTGGTAATATGATCCATCCTAAAGAATAATTACATTTTAATTCTAAGTTACGTCATATGGGACCTTGTTAGTAGGTCACCGTCAACGTATAATTAAGCTGGATATTACTAGACTTGCTGCCTGTCCCTTTACCTCTCTGAGTTTCGGAGACCTTTTTTTCCTCCAAGTTATATCAAACAACCAATATCTTTTTAGCACCTACTAAGTTAAGACTCAGGACCCAGGTGCTATGGAGGTGAAAATGAGGAATTTGACAAGATCCCTTCCTCAAGGAGCTCCCTACCCAGCAGGGGGAGCAAGACAGACACACAGACAGCCATAAGAATCCAAGGCAGGATTGAGTGAGGCCACAGGAGCCGGCTCTGGGAGTTCCGGGGAAGGTCGTTCACTCTCCAGCAGGGGAGAGACTTCTAAGCCGAACATGTTTCCTCTCTCTCCTCCTTTCCCAGCTCCCACTATCCCCTCCCGTCCTTCTCTCTTTCCCCTTCCTCCCCCACCCCCACCCTCTCTTCTCATTTTCTTTCTTACATGTATTATACACACATATAATCAAAGTGTGAAGATGGAGGGGAGACCATTCCAGAAAAAAGGAAAGTGAATAGGTTTGGGGGATGTCCTCTCCCACTACAGGGTTTTTGAGCTTCTCCTGTCTGGGAACCTCGCACTCTATGTGAGTTTGGGCTCTTTCTTTAGTTGTGAGCAACCAAGACTAACTCAGCTGAAAGAAATGCAAGGACACTGTCTGACTCACAAAATCAAAGGAGAAGCTGGACGACCAGGCCCGGGGCAGGGCAGGAACGGGGTAGCTCAGGACAGTGGAAGGCGGGCACCAGTGCACAGCTTCTGCAGGGCACAGTGGGCAGCGTGTGGCAGCTTCAGTTGCTTTCTGCCCTCAGTCCACTCTGTTCAGGATTTGACTTGTAGCCCAGCTGACTGACTGGCACGGCGGGGACATGCATGTCCACTTCTAGAGCTGGGAAAGAGAGGCATCTTAGTTGACATCCTAACACACTACCTCTTTGTCTAGGTAACTGTGAGTCATCAACAGATTTCAGTGCAAATGTCACTTCTTCAGGGATGACATGTTCTCTCTGACCCCAAAACTAGGCCAGAGCCCCCTGCATTCAGGCTCGTAACACTCTTGTCATTTTCCGTCTAATTTCTTTGATTAATGTCCATTTCCACCTCCATACCAGATGGCCCAGGATGGCAGGCACCGTTTTAGGTTTTTTGCACCCCTCTTTATCCTGAGGGCCTAAGACTCTTCCTGGCACAGAGCAGACCCTCGACATTTGTTGAATTGATTAATTAATAAGCACATGTGAGCCTGACTAGAGTAAGACAAGAATAACAGAAGGGGAAGAGGGCAGCAAGGTTGAGAAGAGGTCGGGAGGATTTTGAACGCCAGGCTGTGGAGTCTGAGCTTCACTCTGCAGTCACTGGTGAGACGCCGCAGGTTTTCTAGAAAGGAAACAATGTGCTCGTGCTCAGGTGGGTACTGACTACACTTTTATAGCCAAATCAAAATATTTTCCATCAAATTATTTCTTCACCGATGTTGGAATGATGTGGGTGCAATGACAATGGGAATTGAGATACTGAGTAGCTGAGAGATTGAGGAAATCACTTACTTATAAAGCACACGAAGTGATCTTTCACAAAGGCAATGTTCATTTTTTCTTCATAATTTACAGTTTTTTATTCTAAAAGGAACAAAATCATAATTTCCAAAAATTTAGAAGACAAAAATTATCTATAATCCCACCATCTTAATCCATTATTAATTGTTGGAAGCAGGGAGCTGCCCTGAATACAGGGGTCCCCTAGGGGGCACAGCTCTCGTCCAGCTGCATCCAGCTGATGAAGCTTCATGAAATCAAAGAGAATTGTTTTGAAAATAGCTGGAGATGTTTTTGAGGAAGTCTAGACTTTTGACCTTGGAGTGTTCCTGAGACCTTGGGAGTGTGAGCTATTCCTGTAAACCCACGCATCCAGTTGCTTACACAGAACTTGTAACCCTTTGTTTAGACATGCACTTAGAAAAGTATATAAAGAGAAATGCCTATTGAATAAAGTGCAGCAGCCCTTGAGACTTTTTGTCCTCCTGACCCCATCTTTTGTCTCTTGTCTCTTTTCTAATCCTGCGCTCGTCTTCTCGCCCTGCCATCTCCGGCTGGCTTCCGGCTATTAATCATTTTAGTATTTTTCTTATTAACATTTTCCACTTATTTTCTTAGACTGGATTCTAAGAAATAGAATTACTTGTTTAAATTTTATTAACATTTTATTGTTCTTGATACGTTGCCAAATAACAGCAATGACTGAAGTACCAGTTTCTCATATCCTAACTAGCATTTCAATTTAAAAAATCTTCAGTAATAAATGAAAAATTTTATCTCACTGTTATATTTGCTTTTTTTTTTTTTTTGTCTTTTGTCTTTTTCCGTGTCCGGCAACGGATCGCAACCCTGTGTTGCCCCTGTACCGGACCAGGGACCGGCAATGGGATCGCAACCCTCAGCGTCGCTCCCGAATGTTTTTCCCAATTTGCTTACTAACTGAATTTCTTCTTTTATGCATCCTATTCTTTTTCTTTTTTTTTTTTTTTTTTTTTTTTTTTTTTGTCTTTTTTTGTGACCGGTAAGGGGATCGCAACCCTTGGCTTGGTGGTGTCCTTACCACGCTCAGCCAGTGAGTGCACCTGGCCATCCCTATATAGGATCCGAACCCGCAGCGGGAGCGCTGCTGGCTCCCAGCACCGCACTCTCCCGAGTGCGCCATGGGGTTGGCCCTTATGCATCCTATTCAATATAGCAGATAAGATTTTGTGAATATTCTGATTAGATCAGTGTATCATGGCCTCAAACCTACCAGAGGTGAAAGAGAAAGATACTAAGGAAAAAGCAGATTGTAAAAAACGATGGTAGAACAGATGGTAAAAAAAACAATGGTAGAAAAGAATCACCCCTAGCATTTTCAGTCTTGGAAACATTTGTTAGGAGCTATAGCTGCAGGTATGTAACTTGCTAAAACATGAACTCCAGTTTTATAGTGTGAAACGTATATTTAGAACCCTCTTCTGGAATTCCCATCTAGTAGTGTAGCTTCCTATGTGGCTGACATTCCTGACTGGTGTGTGACGTATTTTATTTCCTTAGTCCAAACTTTCACAGCTGCCAGCACTGGAGTCAAGAGTTACAGGCTACAGCAATGTCTTGCATGTCCTGAGTATAAGCTTTTGTTGACGGTTCTTACACATCATCATCATCTTGAAAGGCATGCAGAAAAAACTGGTTGAATAAAATAACGGGTTTTGAGCAACAGAAGTTTATTGAGCAAACCCTGTGTATGTGTAGACTATAAACACTTTATTTTCAGATCAGAGGAAGGGACCATTTTAGAAGTTCAACAAACCAGGGGAACTGTAAAGATTTCTTCAAACAGTGATGTTAAGGATACCCACACATATGAGTTTTCCATTATTTTGCTATATATTAATTTTTCCAAAAGCCAACAGCATTTATTGCCATTCTGGACTTTTACTCCTAGAAAAAAAAATACAGTAAATCTATAAGTAATTTATTAATATTTTGGTTATTGCTGGGTTTTTTTAAGGTAAGAAGATCTTATGCATCCTATATCCAGCAAGTAGAATTAGCTCTTCAACTGAGACCTGAAAATCCTGAAATACATCAGAAGAATGCAATAAACATGGTTTCAGGAAAGCATGTTCGTTATATATTATGAAGTTCTGTTAATTTATGTACATCGAATGGCACTTTAATAGCTACTCAAATTGAATTAAAATCAAAATTCCTTCTTAAAAAATCAAATATATATGTACTGTATTCTAGGGTACGTTAGTAGTTCTTTGTATATTAAACAAATATAAAATGACCTAGATGTCTGTGCTCTATCACACCTACAAACATGCTACTTTGTAATTAACAAAGGGTTCTTCTTTCCATTTGCTTTTGAATTTAAAGTATATTGTTATTGACTTTTTTAAAAAAAATCTGTATTTCATACCCTTTTTAGTAAAGACCAATAGTTTCTGCATAGTTATTTTAATTGTGGCAAAATATACATTGGNCAATGTCTTGCATGTCCTGAGTATAAGCTTTTGTTGACGGTTCTTACACATCATCATCATCATCTTGAAAGGCACACAGAAAAAGCTGGTTGAATAAAATAACGGGTTTTGAGCAACAGACGTTTATTGAGCAAACCCTGTGTATGTGTAGACT